TATGAAAATGCATGTAAATTTAGCTTCTCCTAGAGAAGCTTTTGCATAGATATTCTCATGGAAAATTTTTATGTGTTGATAAATTGATTTGTGGTAAGACTCCAGAAATGAAAGCATGGCTCCTGTGTCTCTCTGGATGAAATTTTGTGGGTGTAACTCAATCTAAGATTGACATTCAGGCCTAACAGGTTATAGCCATCTTGCAAATCATGGTATAGCTAGGGCTTTTTAAGGGACACAGAGGAACAAAGCATAAATGATTCTTTGTTTTATTTTGTGGGGTTTTTTTTTTTTTTTTTGCTTGTTGGTTTGTTTTGTGGGATTTTTTTAAAGAATATCCAAATCTTTTGAAAATTACTTTGAGTGTATTAGTTTATCTTATATTGGTAGAGAGAGGAGCCTTTTTTACAAAGCCGTTCTGTTAAGTAAAACTTGACTCAACTCTACATCTTTCTGTGTGGACCCCCCTGGTGGTGGTATATTTGAGCCAATGAGCCTGATGGTTGCCATGGACATTTGCTCAGTTTTATACCATTCAAATTAGGTGTTTAATGGCATGAGGCACTGAAAAGACATTCCTTTGTGTAGATATTTCCTGCCACCATTTTGAGCAAGCAACTCACATGTAACAGCTAAACCACTGAAAAACCTTGCCACACAAACAGCTCCCATGAAAAAGTGGTAAGTTTTTCAGCAGTTTCTTAAAATAGTGTCCAAAATTTTCTGTCAGTCTCTTAAGGTTAGCTCTACTGGGGAAATGATCTATCAACTGACAGTATTTCTGACTACCATTAGTTTGTAGACTTCCAAAGGCTGACAATGTTTCCCTTCAACTAATATTTGCAAGATGCAAGTAGTAGCTGGGACCAATGCTGTGTCTACACTAGAGCTTTTAATAGTGGCATTTCTGCTGGGAAGCAGCTGCTAGTATTGTGATTTCACTTTGTTGGGTGCCCACAGAGGTGTTTTTGTCAGCCCAGTACCTCTATGCAGCAAGAAGCTGCACTGACAAAAGATGTGTTGCATTGCTTGCAGGAGTTATACTGTCTCCTACACCATCATTCATGGTGCTGCTTTTGGAGGCTTCATTACAAGGCACCATGGGAGTCCACGTACATTCTTTTGTCATGCTGTGATCATTTTAACATATGCTGTGTACAAGGATGTATTTTTTCAGCTAATATGTATGGTTTTTCTTCCTTAAATATCCTATCTGCCAGAGTTAACTCTTACTTTAAACTGTGTGCTGTTTCTTACCAGAAAAAGAAGAAAAGTACAGAGAAATTGCTGGGAAACCTAGCTGAAAGGTACTGCAGTAGCAGGTAGTGCTATGGTGGTAAATATTGCAGTGGGCTTTTGATTGCTCTAGTTCAGAGAAAGGACAGATGGTTGCCTATGCCTGGCTGCAGGTAACTTTTTCTAAGGACAGAGTCACCTGGTCTTGGGCAGTGATGTGAGAACCTGTGCTACCACTGCATCACAGACCACTTAGCAACATGTATCACACAGTATCACAGTTTCACAGTATGCTAGAGATTGGAAGGGACCTCGAAAGATCATCTAGTCCAATCCCCCTGCCGGAGCAGGAACACCTAGATAATGTTACACAGGAATGTGTCCAGGCGGGTTTTGAATGTCTCCAGGGAAGGAGACTCCACAACCTCCCTGGGCAGCCTGCTCCAGTGTTCCGGCACCCTCATTGAGAAGAAGTTTCTTCTCAAGTTTAAGTGGAACCTCTTGTGTTCCAGTTTGTACCCATTACCCCTTGTCCTATCATTGTTTGCCACTGAGTAGAGCTTGGCTCCATCCTCGTGACACTCCCCCTTTATATATTTATAGACACTGATAAGGTCACCCCTCAGTGTCCTCTTCTCCAAACTATAGAGACCCAGCTCCCTCAGTCTTTCCTCATAAGGGAGATGCTCCACTCCCTTAATCATCTTTGTTGCCCTGCGCTGGACTCTCTCCAGCAGCTCCCTGTCCTTCTTGAACTGAGGGGCCCAGAACTGGACACAATATTCCAGACGGGGTCTCACCAGGGCAGAGTAGAGGGGAAGGAGGACCTCTCTCGACCTACTAACCACCCCCCTTCTAATACACCCCAGGATGCCATTGGCCTTCTTGGCCACAAGGGCACAGTGTTGGCTCATGGTCATCCTGTCGTCCACTAGGACCCCCAGGTCCCTCTCCCCTACACTGCTCTCTAACAGGTCGTTCCCCAACCTATACTGGAACCTGGGGTTGTTCCTGCCCAGATGCAGGACTCTACACTTTCCCTTGTTATATTTCATCAAGTTACTCCCTGCCCAACTCTCCAGCCTGTCCAGGTCTCGCTGGATGGCAGCACAGCCTTCTGGCGTGTCAGCCACTCCTCCCAGCTTAGTGTCATCAGCAAACTTGCTGATAGTACACTCAATTCCCTCATCTAAATCATTGATGAATATATTAAATAATACTGGTCCCAAGCACAACTTAGAAAATATGTGCCTAAAATGCTTTTCATGGTTGTGGCAGACAGCAGCTATTACAGGGAAGAATAGCTCTGGTTACTTTATGTTGGAAATCTGGTCAGAGTCCAGTCTTTTTACTCTTGATCACAGAATCCTTAGAGTTGGAAAGGACCTCTGGAGATGATCTAGTCCAGCCCCCCTGCCAAGGCCACAGCCTCATAGAAATTTATTTTAAACTCGAAGATCACAGTACTGGGAAACTAAGTTAATGTATTTTCTTACGCATATTAGTATTTTTCTTATGGAAAAATGCAAGCTAACCTATTTTTTGCAAGGAATTATTTAAACAGTCTCTCTTTTTTTTTTTTATTTACGTAATAAAGAATTTCTTCTGCAGTGTACTGATCTGTGAAATATTCTCTGTGTTTCTTCTGCCAGAATGTGCATTTGGTTGTTTTCAGCATTCTCTTCCACCCTGCATGTAAGCATAAAGTAATAAATCCAAAAGGTCATTCCTTTGTTTTCCCCTCTGCATTTGTTTTGATGCTGTTTTGAAAGATGAGTGTTGAGAGAGCGATTTTTGGGGTGCATGAGCAAAGTGAAAAAGCAACAAAAGCCACCTGCCCCTGTCTTAGGATGGGCTCTTCTTCAGTCCTTTCTTAGTTGCACTGCTGGCATAAGTGATAACTCATCTCCCTGTGGGGTCTGCATCCTCTGTACTTCTTTTAAGGTTTGAGATGCCTTCTGCTGCTGTATGTCTGCTGTTATGTTGTGCTTGCTGTTTTCTTGTGCACAGATTAGGTTGTGCTTAGGAAGCTTTGGTCCATATAAGAATTAGGAAACAGTAGAAGCTAGTGCTAAGAGCAGCTGCTGGCTTTTTGTTGGTCCTCCTGGCCATGTGGTAGGGCAGCCTCTCTTCCTGCAGCTTTACCTACCAGCGTGGCTCATGCTAGCTTTCCCTAAACTTTGATATTATCTCTGCAGCATCTATATTAGATGTTTTTATTCACAAAGTGGTTTCCTATCTGTCATCTTGCACTATGTTTCATCTTCACCAGCTGAAATATGTCCAGGCAGACAGGTCTGATTCACTGATTAAAATGAGCCTGCTCTTTAAAATGAGACTACAAAATATCTGAACTCCTGAGCCTTTCCTTCACTCTGTCTTAGCCTGGTGACTATCTAATGTAGACTGGCTTGTGAGGATGAACAGATGCTTTCCAGAAATAGGCTGAGGACTTGGGAGATGAGGTAGTAGCAGCATTCAAAACTGTGACCTGTGAAAAAGGCATTCAAAATTATGACCCTTTTCCTGAAAATTGACCTGTAGTGGGGTTACTTCTAAAGTAGTCTTTGTTTTGCCAGGACTACAGCATCCATGCAGGCATTTTAGCCTAGGAAGATATTCTACCAGTGACAATGGCCTTTAAGGAACTCATTTAAATAATAGGATTTTATCACTAAATTTGAATCATTAGGTCCAACATATTCACTAACGTAACATAAGTTTTACAGGTACGATTCTATTCTGTAAACTAGGAGTAACTAATATTTTTTGTATAAAGAGACTGAAAGATATGACAAACAGTGGGAGATCATTTTCATGTTGTAGAGCCTGTCTAATTTGTTCTCAGGGTTCATAAAATATTTAAGAACTTGTATTTGGCTGTGCTGTCATTCACCATCAACATAAGCTATGTGACTCAGATGTCAGTAAAAATAATTGAGTAACTGGATTTTCAGAGGGATTTGGTAATGAGTATCTTACCTTCTGACTCTCTTATTTAAAGAACTTCTGAAAATGAGGTTACAGAACTTGTGGTCAACTAATTAGGCTATTTGGAGGGAATCCTGTATTGCTTTTTCTTTAGTCATCCAGAACCTTTCCTTATTTGTAATGTATACAGAAGGAATCTCATAGAAAATTACAAAACTGTTCATGCTCATGCTGGTTTGAAATTTTTGTATGCATTAATGAGAAGACGGGGAGCAATAACAGCAATATTTTGGTGAACCTATTCAAGAAATGTAGGATTTTTACAGCTGAGGGGAAAATGTAGGAAGTATTTCGCTATTCATGAAATTGTGTGTTCTGCTCACTAGCTTTGCAAATATGTATCTTAGGAAGTATTTCACACCTCTTCTACAACAGGCAGCTCTGGAAGATTTCAAGCCTTATTCAGACAAAACTCCCAAGACAAGGAGTACAGCTATATCATGCCTGGTTTTATGAAAATATCATTTGGGAGCAGCAAAGATTGTTTAGTTATTTTTAAGGGGGGTGGGGGGGTGGTGGTGGTGTTTGTTTGTGGGATTTTTTGCTTGTTTGGGTTTTTTGGTTTTTGAGGCGTTTGATTATTTTTGTTTGTTTAGTTGATTGTTTGGTTGGGGTTTTTTTTTCTCCTTCAGACAGAAAACAACACTTGAGAAAAAACAGCTGCTAATAATTGGCACTACAGCTTTAGGGGGAGGTGTTACCCATTAATATTTGGTCCATTATCAATGCTGTCACCTGCCTGATGAGGGTTATTTCTCTCCTTTTGCTTTCAGCAGCCATGTTTCCCAGCACACAGACAAGTGGAAGTGCACCAGCATCTGGGGCACTGTCCTTGTCCCACACCAGCAGCCACCTTTCCCCAGGACATAATGTACAGGGTACTGCTGTCCATCCTCTGCTCTCAGCTGTGGACTCAGAGAGGTAAGACCAGCCCCTACTTTTCCCATGGTAAGTCTGGGGTGGGACTGCCTTCAGAGCTGCCAAGATAGGTGGAAACTGAATTGTTGGTGTGAAAAAAGTCACTGGTAGCATCTGCCAGGTAATGATTGCTCTGGTAATGGGTTTACCACGGGCAGGAGAGATGAAAGGGATTCTATTATCCCAGCCTGAGCTTTCCATTGAGACAAGGAGGCACAAAAGCACAAAATGTGATCAGTTCTAAGTAATGTTAAGTTTGATGGCTTTGTAATGGAAAATAACTGCTGTGCTTGAAGGTAGTTGACATAGTTTCAGGTCCTTAGGACCTTAGTAAAAGAGGTGTAAGAAAAGCAGAGTAGAAGGACAGGACCTGGAAATGGGGAGTATCTGGGACTAGCAGATGTCCAGGATGGGCACTGTTAAACTAACTGATAAGTAGAAGGACAGGATGATTGCTATGTTTGTGGTGTTAATAAACCCATTAAGCTGGTGTAAACATGTACTGGGGAGTATCTGGGACTAGCTGATGTCCAGGATGGGAGAGGTTAAACTAACTGATAAGTAGAAGGACAGGATGATTGCTATGTCTGTAACGTTAATTAAGCTGGTTATGAAGATTGTTGGGAAAAGTAAACGACCCTTAAAGACCACCATCATATTTTTGTATGCATGCCAAAAACTTGCTGGAAAATGTTGTAATATGCCCAGTGACCTTATAAGGATGGCCCGCTTAGCAATACTGGGACACACGTTAGGAGGAGCTGTCCCCCCTGTCTCCCGGTGCTGCAATAAAGAATACCTGCTTGTCACCTTGAAACTTTGTTGGCGAGTCTGTTCCTGGAGTTTTCTCCAAATCACCATCCATCTCTTCTTCAGGGACTTCCACAAATCCCCTCTTGATCTCCACCAGTGGCCTTAGTGTGGCAAGTCATACTAGGTGGGATGTTAAATTCCAGAGGAGCCTAGCCATACCTATAGAATGGAGGCCCTGAGATTCATATTTCTGTTTTCTTGCAGTAGGAGAGACATTCTGTATTTCTGCAGGCACTTGGCCCCTTTTTTCTTGGCATCTTATTAAGACCAACAGGCAAGAAAGCTTTTTTAATTCACTGGGTTTGAGAGCTTCATTTATAGTCAGGATTTATTTTATGCTGGGTACGTAGCAACCCTTTGACCTTGATGTTTCCATGATTGTAGGTATTTCAGTGATGTGAAAGCAGATTGCTTGGAAGTGGTTTAATTTTTATGTTTGACATTCCCTAAATTATTTTCAGCAATCTTTCAAATTATTTATATAGTGCACGGTATTGTAAATTTCCACTTAGTTCATTGAACCAGAAATCTACCAGATTGCAAAACTGAAGAAACCTAAGCAAATAGTTTTTCAGTGGATAGGTCAGGAAAATACATCATTACACAAAATACTGAATTCTTACTATACGTATAAGGATACTTAAACATTATTTTGATAATCTCCCAATCTCCCCATTTTTCAGTGCTCTAAAGGATAAATTGCTGTGTTTCATTACTGTAATTCAGAGTATTTAATTTCCTTGAGTGACAGAAATGCCAGTAATTTGGACAGCACAAAGTGTCCAATTATAAACCTCAAAGGAACATTCACTAGATTTCAATTACTGATAAAAGAGCATAATTTCTTTGGAGAAAAGCAGCACTCACTCTGCCTTGTATCAGGAAGATGGAAGAGCATGGTGGCTCGGAGAATTGACAAAAGGTGAAATTGGTTTCAGACTGCACATGTGAATTCAGCCAGTCATCGAGCCACTGGAAGTTGTTGAGCTTTTTGTACACCAGTCTGAGATGAAACTTGCCATTTCATGATCATAGTAGCTCATCCAGTGGTTCAGTCCTTCCTCTCCACTCCTGGCCACACTGTCCTGAACTTTTTCCTCTTCCAGGGATCTGGCCCTCTGTGTAAACTCTGGGGCTGCGCGTGACCTCTTTCCTGACCCAGAGGCTTTACTTCTCAATAAAGTTTTCTCTGCAGTGCATGAACTGTCCAATGTCCATACCCAGCAATTGCCAGAGCATGAGTTCACAGGCAGGGACAGATCAAGAGTAGTTACAGGTGTAAATTTCATGATGAAAGACAGCAATCTTCTCATTAGCCCATTTTTGAGGCTGGTGTAGGACCAGAATAGGCATGTTTAGAGTACAACTCAACTCATGAAGTCCTTGAGTGTGTTACAGACTGCAGGATACTACAACCCTCTACAGAAGAACAATAAAAACCTAGTGTAATACACTCCTTTCTCGTAAGTTAACAGTATGCACTCACTCTAAAAAGGCTTTAAGTGCTAATTCCCATATGTGGAGCTACTTTGGACTGGAAAGAAAGGTGCAGTATCTTCATTTAGGTAGTGTGACAAATGGTAATTTAAATTCAGAAAAGAAAAAAAAGTATTACAACAGCCTTGGCTGGATTACAGAGCATACAGTACAGATTAAGGGAAATGTTTAAAAGATAAACTATTGCAGAATCTGCATCTTGAGTCTGATACAGTCCAGTCACCTAGAGGCCCTGTGAATACATTGTCATGTACACCACCTCGTGATGGTCTGATAGGTGTGAAAATGCGAACTGAACAAGCCAACACTTTGTAATACAAGTCTTTGAAAGGTGTGAATCACCCTGTTTATCTCAATTGAGAAGGCTGCAGGATTTAAGGGTGCAAACTGGGAATTTGTTCCCTCTCTGCTCATGCTGTGGGGTTCATGATGCACTGTATGTGTCTAGGGTAATTCCAGAGCTAGGTCTGGCTGACCGTCACTCACCTCTGTGATAGCCTGCATTTACTGGGCTGAAGCTGAACCAAGCTTTTGGCTGCTTTGGCATGTCTGGAGGCCAGTCATGTAATCCTTCCATTTTGGACAGGAGACCCAGGTTTCTGAGTGACAGGAGCCAAAGGAAATAAACATCTCCAGGTACCGTGAGGTAGACAAACAATTAGAGAGCTTCTTTCACATCTTTTTCCACCTAGGTGATGGAAGAGAGAGCATGGACTTAGTTAAGCCTTATTAATGTGAAAAAATTGAACCAAACATGGGATACATCTTACACTGTTTTCGTTCTGTGTACGAAACTCACTGTGCACAGACTGCAAGTCGGGTATAGAGTTTAGATCCAAGAAGCAACTTCATTTATCAAATGAGACAACATGTAATAAAAATGCATATTTGCATTTTGTGTGTTCCAACACTTTCATGCTAACTTTCAGTGCTCCCCTAATATGAAACACTACAACTATTAAATGAAAGTACCAAATGGTAATAGTACCCAGAGGTATATGTATATAAAAAGAATATGTACTTGGCTTCCTTGTCACATATTTTTGTAATAAAAGGGCATTCGAGGAAGGTGGAAAAACAATTTAATCAAAACCCAGATAAAAAAATCTAAATTGTGTTTATCTGGCTTAAGTAACATGTACAGCTCAGTGCCCCAGAATTGGTGGTGTCAAGTGCTTAATTTTTTTCTTTTTTAATTTTTGTTATTATTTATTGAATTCCCCAATATATACATTTTGCTTTCTAAGGCTTGCTTTTGTGCAAGAAGTAGTCTGTTAACTGGTGTGAGACCAGAAAAGAATTCTTCATTTGGACTTGGTGTTCCAGATGTTTTTTTACCCTCCTGTGAGTCACAGCTAGTAGCATGTCCCTGAAGCAGGAGACATCCCACCTTCACAGGAAGTTCTAGAGATTGTGTAAAGGTGGAAAGAAGGATGTAGGGCTGAACTGTTCAGTTGAGCATTACTGCAGAACTAAAAGTTCTGCAACAGTGCTTCTTTTTGCTTATTTGAGTATGTGGTTATATTCTCTGGAGAGACTTGATGGATGGACCACCTGGTGGATAAAGAATTGGCTGGATGGCTGCACGCAGAGAATTGCGGTCGATGGCTCAGTGTCCAGCTGAAGGGTAAAAGTGGTGTACGTATAAATGACAAACTCTTAAAAGTGGAGTGGCAGCATGTCTAACCCTGAACCCAACCCATAGAATCATATAATCATTTAAGTTGGGAAAGACTTTTAAGATCATTGAGTCAAATCATAAACCTAACACTGCGAAGTCCACCACTAAACCACGTCCCTAAGTGTCACATCCACACATCTTTTAAATACCTCCAGGGATGGTGGGTGAACTCTTCCCTGGGCAGCCTGTTCCAGTGCTTGGCAATCCTTTGATGAAGGAATTTTTCCTAATATCTAATCTAAACCTCTTCTGGCAAAACTCAAGGCATTTCCTCTTGTCTTATCTCTTGTTTACTTGGAAAAAGAGACCAACCCCCACCTCACAACAACTTCCTTTCAAAACCAGTTTTTCTCTAGCCTGTTTCTACACTTTTTTCCAAAGGCACTTTTTTCCTTTCCTTTGAATTTGTAAGAAGTTCAGTTCTCTAATTCAACACAGCCACAAAAAATGCTGAGAGAGATTTTAAAGTTATGTATCTCTGTCTTCAGGGAATCTGTATATTGAGGTGGCCACTTGCACCTGGCTTCCTTAAATTCCACTTTAAATTCCACTTAAAATCTCCTTTCTTATTCTCATGAAGGAGCTCATGATGCCGGTCAGAGGGGCGGTTCTTTCTTCCTACCATCCCTTCTTTGGGCTATCTGATTCACTGGTTTTATCTGAAAAAGCAGTTCCTGTGTTCCTACAGATTGAGCATAAAAAGGATTTTAGGTGCTTATTGATGACTGAAAAGAAGGATATAAAATTAAAGTCTTCTGGCACATGCAATCTACTCTACTGAGACACCATGGAGATAGAAACCTGCTGTGGGATCATGGCTGTGCAGGGTGTGAGCCAGAGCTTGACAAGCGTAAATTTGGTGGCTGAACAAAATGATGAATAAAGATTTCGTTTTGTGCTGGCCAGAATATTTTTGTTAAGGGAGAAGATTTGCTTCTTTTTTTAAAAAAAAAATAAGAAAACTTGCAACATAATAATCATTGGAGAGAAGCATGTTTTATCACAGGTTGGTAAAAAGTTTAGGGTTTGTTATTTTTACCAAAATGGAAGAATTCATGACTTTTGGGCATTTACAAACTGGTCCTAATTGTTTCAGGAAAAAAAGTAAATTTACAGTTCCTCCAGTAACACACTGCGATTTTTTCAGGGACAAATCTTGACTGAGACCAGATTAAGTTTCTCTTTTTGTAGGCAGAAGGGAAGTAAAAGTAGACTACTTTAGTCACCCATACAAGTAAGTCAGCTATTCGTGAAGTGAGTGATTCATAAATCACTACAAAGACCACTAAAGTCTACTATAAAAGAGTCCTGTCTGGCTACACAAAATAGTGCGTTATTATTTTTGGAAGGATTTTTTGGATGTTAAAACAAATGTGAAATTTTGCAACCCAAAAACCAATCGTGTGCTGGGCTGCATCAAAAGGAGCATGACCTGAGCAGTCAAGAGGTGATCCTGCCCTTCTACTCTGCCCTCATGAGACTCCACCTGCAGTGCTGCATCCAGCCCTGAGGCCTCCAACACAGGGAAGATGTGGACCTGCTTAAGTGAGTCCAGAGGAGCCCATGAAGATGATCAGAGGGCTCAGGCTCCTCTCCCATGGCAACAGGATGAGAGAATCTGGCTTGTTCAGCCTGGAGAAGGCTTCAGGAGATCTGATAGCAGCCTTCCACTACCTAAAGGGGCCTACAGGAAATCTGTAGAGGGACATTTTACAAGATGATGATTTTTAAGGTCCCTTCCAACCCAAACCATTCTGTGATTCTATGAGATGTAAAACTTTGCTTATTTGAGTTTTGAAAAGGATTTTTCTCTGTTACTGGCTGCTGGTTAAAACCATTTTTCAGAAATTAATTTTCACAAATGACTTTTGAGAACACAGAGGATGATATCCTATGATTTTTTAAGTAATACACCTGTGTATTGCTTTTAATCTCTGGCAGCAAGTAAGTCTTTCCACAGGAATGCTGTACAAAAAACTAACTCCAGTCCCTACTCAGGTAGTTGCAGCATGTCTTTAAAAACCTCTGATATTCTTATCACAATATAACTACTTATTTATGCAGTATTTTTTTCATATTCTCTATATTATTATGAAACACACACATACTTCATCCTATTCCTCCCTACTATGTCTTTAAGTCTACGCGATATCAGTTATCTGGAACAATGACATATTTGACATATTAAAGACTCAGTGTCTCAGTAGTGACACCTTTATTTCCTTCAATAATATATGTGTTTATGAAGTTAATATTAAACAGCACAAAGACCATTCAAATCCTATCTGATATGCCTAAGAATGCAATTCTCAAAGAAAACTGAATAGGCAGTAAACAATTCAAAGTTCATTTTGAAACTTGGCTGTACTCCAAATGTAAATTATGGATCTTCCAGAAACATAGTGAATAGGTTTCAAATTAATTCATAATCACGCAGATAATCACAGCAAGTGGAGGGTGGTGATTCTGATCATGTGTGGCAGATACTGATTCTGAGCTGCAGCAGAAAAGATCTCGTGTGTCCTGAGGTGCAGCTACAGCATGTATATGACCCAGTCCAGAGGTGTTCTGCAGCACAACTACCACAGTTGCACCTTCTGTTGTGTTTGCATTAAGATTAGTTTTCTTAGAGTTCTGCAGGAAAAACATTCTTTATTACTGGGTTAAAAAGAAAGTAATCCAGTGAATTGAGGTTCCAGCCTCAGAACAACAGGGATCAGTTTTAGCATCCTGCCAGTGTTAACCGTAAGCACTGATCCCTCCTACCAGCAGCTACTGAGCACACCCACCACAGAGAAGGGTAGGTAGGTACTCTTGTTCAGCACAGGCTTCCAGCTTGCCTTCAGGACTGGGGAAAGAGGTTTGTGACAGGAATAGCACATCAGTTTTCGCTCATGGTCTTTGCAGAAATACCCTGGCTTTATTTTGTCAGCCTTCCTGAATCTCCTGCTATGGATGAGAAAGTGACCTTCAGCCATTCCTGAGCCCGGGATGAGCTTTTGTTCCCTGATCAGATCTCATCAGTCCAGTGTGTAGTTTGGTCACTGAGGCATAGACCAGGACTCTTATAGTCTCATCTGCAAAAATTACTGTTGCACCTGTTTGTAATGTGCTTTGTAGTATGCAATTTTAAGGAAGTGTAGAGAAATCTTAAACTTACAAAGTCTGTGAAATTCTCAAAGTAGTGTGTAACCTTGTACTGCCAGTACAGACAGAGCTGTGCAAAACACACCACTGATGTGATGAACCTCTGTGGCAGCTGCACCACCAGGTTTGGTCTGAAAGGTTCTCCTCTTCTGCCAGGCTTGTAAGCTTATACTTTGAGGTCAGATCAACATTTGATGTGGTCAGACTGTTCCCCACTGGAATGAATTTAACACCGGCCTTTATTTAGATTATGTTGACTTCAGATTGTTTATTTTCAAACAGCACTCCGTAGCGTACAAAAAATTATAGAACTTGAAACCTGAACCTAGGCCTGAAACTATTATCTAACTCATTAGTGTCCAATTACCAGAACTGACCCCTCACTTACAGAGTGGAAGGACAGCTATTGATTGACAGATACAGTTGACATAATGCCTTACAATGAGACAGTTGGCAATGCCTCAAAAATCAGGTTCCCTGTGAGGTATCTTAAACCCACCCACAGAAGATAAAAATTTTGCATGATAAGGATGCAATTCAGCCTTTTATCTTCCCAGTTGTCAAATTTGAAAATGTGTCTTCTGTGTATCTGGGCTTCACCCTGTTCTTTTGGAAGTCTCTCTATGCAAACTGCTAAACATTATAGTGGTGTAAGTAAAGTAGGAACATTCTTTAGCTCTTACCTATTGGGTATTTTACAGTTCTGTGATTCTGAACTCCTAGGTTTGTTGCACCAGCTCCTTCTCCTCACCACATCAGCACCCAGGGAATTTCAGTTCCACACCACATGATGCAGAGACAGACGCCACAACCTCCCCACCTTCCACAGCCTGCAGGAATGTCTCTAAAGACATACCAGTCAGCAACAAACCCTTCTTTTCAACCAAATAGCCTCCACAACCAAGGTAAGAAAGGAGAATCCTCATCACTCATGTTAGTTGTTTGTCACTGTTTTGAAGCTTCAAAGTAACCTCTTCAAGGGATGGTGAAGGTATTTTTAAGGCACCTTACTTTTTGAAAAACTCTAGGAAGTAGCCTTCAGGAACCTGTCTTTATACTGCCTTAAAATTCTTGGCTTAGATAATTGCCATTTATCTAATAGAGAGTTACGGGTTTCTCTTCAGATATATTTTCAGAGCTGTTGTTGTTGTCATATGACGTATGTGGAGACATGCCAGAGCAGAAACAATAAATTCCTATCATATGCGGCTAGGAAGGGATCAGGTTAGCCTTCCTACTTCCACAGTACAATACATTTTACTCAATTCCCTTTTTTTTTTTGCTGAATATTTGCCAAGAACTCATCTTCCAGAAACACATCCAGACATTAAGGTCTGTCTTTCTACCTGGAACAAAAGTTATCTTTGAGTGCATAGATGGCTTTACCACCTTCTTCCTTTCATGGTCATGGGGAAAGCATTGTAGAAACTGGGATCACAACCAGTTGCTCTGAAGTTGAACAGTTTCCGAGGAATCCTGCTTCCCAGAAGCTCACGGATCACCTCAGGTTAGTTGCTGCTCCACACAGGACTTTCACTGGCTGGGGAATCTAGCTCCGTATCTGCTTGGGGCATCATCTCATTAGAGCAAGCCAGAGCAATGTTACTGTGTGCCCACCTCCCCTCCCTGCAGTCCAAACAGGATTTAAAAGGACGAAAGACATGTCATTAACACCATTATAAGACCAGCAGAGACCCGGGCAAATGTCACACATGGACTGAAGCCCCACGCCACATCTAAATTTAAGGTAGAGCTTAATACAATCTTCTGAGTGGATCAAAAAAATGGATAACCTCAAGGGCTTGGATCTTAAACCTATACCTTAGTCCCTTGTTAGCTTCTCTGTGTTTGCCTCCATCTCCTAGGAAAACCTATGTTGAAAATAGACATTGGTGACAGGAATTGTATGCATACAGTTAGCAACTGAAAGTTGCAGATGTAAAGATCTCTGTGTTTAAAAATGGTAGGAAGACAATGTGGGCTGAATTCTTAAGGTCCTTTCCAACCCTAACTATTCTATGATTCTATAGATTCTATTTTATAAAAGATATAATACATTGCAATACAAAAGCCACATTTGGATATTGAATGTTCTTTCAAAGATTAAGTAACCTATTGTCACTCTAAGAGGTATTTTGTCAGAATGTAGTCCTCCCAACTTAAGCATAGTTGTCTCATTCCTATGTGCTACACTGAAAGCTTTGTTGGTCCTGCATGCCTGAAAGGCTTAGCTAAACTATCGCTCACAAAAGGAAATATTTCAAGAGTTCATGGTCAAATTTTCCCAGCAATACAAAGGTGGACATCTTCCTTGGTCACATCAGTATAACGTAGAAAACACACCATAAATTTATCTCACCAGTCTAAACTATTTGGTATATAAAGAGTGTCTGTGGGAAGCTCTGTGAGTTTCTGTCTCCTGCAGTTCATAGCTTGCCTTTTCAAGATTTAAAATGCTGTAGCTGTAGCCACTTCAGCTCAGTCTGCTACCAAACAATGGTGACATTTTTGTCTCAATATGTAAGCTTGTAAACTCCATTTAAATTGGCTGTACTAAGGAAGAAAGAGTTTCATTGCCCAAAAGCTATTTGAAGACAGCAAGTTCTCAACAGACTGCTTTCCTGAAAACCTAAGCATCTTAAAAGCTCATGGAGATCTCAGAGCACTATCCTTTGGAGATAAATTATGGAGATACAAGACTGACAAGCCTTTTGTATCTAATAGCTACTTGCATTGTGAAGCTGCTTCTTCTTGGAAGAACACTGTCTACAGTTCAAATTTCAGTATTTGTTCTGAGTGACTTTCAGCATCAGCTACACAGTAATGTCAGAGAGGGTTTTTTGTTGCTTTGGTTAATATTATGTAATAGATTAAATATTCCCTTTTCTTCCTCTTGTGAAATTCACATTTTCCTTTGCTGTGTGGAATATTCAGAACTCACTGAGCTGCAGAAATAAAGCTTTTCTTTTCCTTTCAGTAGACTTAGTATATTTCATTGGATTAACATAAGCAGTAAATCTGAAACTAGAAACTGGAGTGATGACTTCCCAGCTTGATGCTATTGTATATGCCATTGTACTATGTGTTTACAAACAGACTAGAAGTCAGTTCAGGTCCTGGAAATCTGAAACAACTGGCCCAGGACTTGTATTGTACTGGTCACTCTTTTCAGCCTAGAATAACTACAGGGATCTCAGCACAGGTACCTGAAGACAGAGGCATCTGCAGCATGCAGGCAACTGTGAAAATAAGGGATTGCTTTGAGACAAGTCGGAAGAGATGTGTGAGGTAGAAAAGAAAAGAAGAGCAATAGAAAAATCCTCCACAGTGGTCAAGCTTCTTGTGTTTATAGTACAGAGTAAGGAAAAGCTCCTTTGGACATGGACACAGCTAGATTGATTTTGGATGCTTCTGATACTACAAACATTTTTGCACTAGGAGTCTGACCATCCTTTAAAATCATGCCTGTAACTCATGGTGTATGTTTCTGTGTGGTAAGCTGATGACCAGTGATGACTGAGTAATGGAAGAAATAAAAACGTCATGTAAAATTTTCAGGAAAAGAAAAAAGTTACCGTTTGAAAAAAAATGTTAGCTGATATGAGTTAGCTATACTAGTGTATCTATACAGGCAGCTCTACTAGTAACAGCTATCTTTTAATTACAAATAACCAGATTTAAATAAGCAAAATTTTATAAGTTTTTCACCTTTGCAAACCAGTCTTGCAGTACAATTTGTGACTCATATCTATGACTTACTTTTTCTTCTGTTCTTCACACTCAGATGGTACCAAATTATTACCTGATTGTGAAATTAACCTATTGGACACTGTAGAAATGCACTGCAGAGGAACGCTATTTTGAAGTAGTTCAAGCCAGACAGCTGGAAATTTGACATACCATAGGAGTAAAGACTACTCACCCATGATGTATGTTTCTTAATAGCATTTACAATTATTTTCATGAGAAAATATGCTTTCTTTGTGGTGCCAGGCAGAGAACTGATTGGGAAGGAAATAGATGTTCATCACAAACTTCCTACCTTATGGAAATTATAACTGTGGCAATCATTCATTACATATCTGTAATGAATTCTTTGTCCACATCAGTTCAATGGAATCAGGACCTGACCACAGACTTATGTAGACCACAATTTCAGCTGGGAATTTGAGATGGCTATGTACCTGGGATTTTCTGATGGTTAGCATCCCTCAGGACAAAGCTTTGTAAGTGATAAAGAATAAGAGCTTTTTGCTTTTAGAAGAGATTCTTACAGTATACACCTATTTTATCATATTTAAAAATATTTCACTTTCCTCAGGAAATAATTCTATCATGACAGAAAAATAACTGTTTAAGCTATTTATTCTATATCTTGACATCATGGATCTTGGCTGTAGTGCACTGACTCCAAGAAACACAATTGACATAATCTTGTGCATGTGTGTGCTTTAAATAGGTGAACAAGAGAGCAAATGACACAGTCCAGGTTGCAGTCCTGAGAACTGTTCAGTTGCTGGAACTTCATTAGCCAAACTGTTTGCTTTTTTTGTTTTTCCAGTACTGCATGAAAACACACAAAACTGAAGCTACATGTAGCTCTCTAACACACAAAGGGGCCAACTACAGTTTGGGTATAGGGCCTGAATTACACATGTTTTCATGTCATCCTAACGTCAGCAATAGTGTTGATTATCTTGGGCATGGCAACACATGAATAAAGAGCATAGCTTCTGATACCAAATTAGGACATTTTGCTGTATCATATTTGGGCTCCACTCAAAGACCTCTACATTGTGACCTGATGCACTGCAGACATGGACAAAGTGCAAAATAACTGAGGAGTAGAGAACAATATATGCGCTGTTCTGCTCCTTCCTGTTTATGGCTCTGTATTTTATAAGATGGATATTTGTGACCCTGAATCATGAAAAAACAAATGCAAAAGCTGAATTATTTCTCTTTCTCTCTTCCATCTTAAAAAAATATTGGGGGGGTTTATCAGTTAATGAAAGTGCTTTGTGCATTTTCCTGGTTCTTCCTGCAATATACAGGTTAATGTACCACTGGATCAAAGATTGTAAGACTTTGCTAGACAATATTCTTTAGCTTACGTAGGGAATGAGCAAACACAGGGGATGTGACTTGCAATAGCTCAACCCCAAGGTAAGCAGTTTTTCTGCCAGACTTCAGCTAGTGGTAGTCAAAGTTACTGCCAGATTGTTCTGCACTGGGAACAGGATGCTGTGAGAAAGGCACAACTAGAGAATGAGCACAGAGCTATGTGAAAGGACATTTCAGCATGTGTCTTGAAGGGTCTTGCCAGCTGGCTAAGACCACTATAGATTGAAATGGTTGTTTCTGGTAACTAGTCTGACTCAACAGTAAACTTGCACAGTGTGTCCTATTAGTTTTAAAAGCATTTTTAAAGGAGGCAAAAACTGTCAATAGCAATGCAGATTCTAAGTCAAGTTTTGAAAGGCTATTGTTTTTTCTTTCATTTTGCTTTATTTTGCTGGAGTTGATTCTTATATGTCAGGACTGAACATTTAAGGATTGACAGTTGTGGATTCTTAACATGCTTTGCAACTGACTTAGTTTTGTTGCAGTCAAACTTTAAAAGAAAAAAATTATTGAAATCATTATCTTACAGGTAGCGCTGCAGATTTCCCACAGCCTCTGCAAAAGACAATGAAATCTATGAGTGTTCGGCCTTTCCAGAGTGAGCACCAATTCTACAATTAGCCTGCTGTGGAAGAGGAACTGTGCTTCTGCTTATGATTCCTTCTTTCTCTGTTTTTCTTATATATTTTTTTTATTATTTCCTTCTTTTATGTGAAGTCAAGATACTCTTTCTCTTCATGCAGGTTTTCAGACACAACACTACACTGACAATTGTTTCATTGTTCTTTCATGTAACTATTTTCCTCATCTAAACAATTCTTACCTTCGTGTAATTCAGGCGTTTATCTCATTTTGTGTACACGGAAGCGTCTTGCGATGCTACTGAATAAAATAGAAAAATTGTGTTTCCCTCACCATTGTTACAGAGGCCTTCCCATAAGGTCTCTTCTGAGTTCCTGGGTTCAGGTTCAGACTGTCATGTTTGTCCATAGTCCTGGCACATTCTGATGCTTTTAAATACTGAGTTTTCTGTTTCAGTTCAAGCACATCTTATGCATGCCACCATTTGTGTGGTTTTGTAGTCTCAAAGGAAAAAAGGATCATAAAACTCCTAAATCATGCATTATTCCTCCTACTTCAATGAAAAAGTGATACAGCCTGTTCTTCACTGCATCCTTCTCCTTTCCTTATCCCTATTATCTATGAAATGTATTATCTGTACATAAACATTCAGTACATCTTCAACAAACAACAGTCTCATATGCACACTTTCATAGGAAAGTTAATGGAAACACACCTAACTCCTAGCCACAATCCAGAAATTTTTTTTCTTATGTTCCTAACATGTTTCTAAGCATAGACTGTATACACATATATAAGCATATGCTGTAAAGGTATCTGAGGTAGGCAGGTTTGTTTGAGTTGGGGTGTTGCACAACATATTCCTCATCAAGACACTAGCACATCAAGACAATAGTAAATTCTGTAAATTAAAAAATAGCTACAAAGTCTAAGCTTTGGACATTTTGCTCAGGAGTCTGAAGAATGGCTTTTATAAGTAAAAGAATGTGGTGTGTTTGGGATTTTTCTTTCCAGTTTTCTATAATGTATTCTGAGAATATATTCAGCACAGAAAAAAAAGTCATGCCAGTCATAATTTTAAGGGGAGAAAAGACCTTGCTTCCATGAGAAAAATCTTCAGGCCAACCTACTGCAGAACATCTGTCTCTGCCTCTTAGATTACATACATGTCCCTATTTTATAAAGAAATGTGGTTTGGGTTATGTAAATAATATTTTGTTATGAACCTCAATGTGAATTTACTCAGTGTTTAGACATCTCTAATAATCACTTAAAGAGCAAAAAACAAAGAACAAAAACCCGGGTGGAGATCTTTCATGTCATGTAACACAATGGTTTTGATTTTCTTCCACATGGATTCATTTCTACTGATGAGTGGGTTAGACTGTCACCATGTACTGAAAAACAACAGGCCTCGTGGATCATCAGCAGGAAGCCTTTCTGATCTCATATGCATGCCCCACTATTGGCCATCTGTCTTGGCATTAGTGACAGATGCTCAGATTTTATGCAGGCCTTACTTGAGTTGTCTTCCTTTATTCTGAATTAAGCATTCTCTTAGATACTTCAGGCAGCAGCCCAGTGTGAAGTCTGGAAAGTACCAGTTAAGACAGTAGAACTGCAGAGTAAAGGGAGAAATTCCCTGAAAAATTTCAGCCCCTAGCCAGTCAGTGCTTCTCACAAGTCATGAATGTCAGGGAGTCCATGAAGTGGATTGTGTTCAGAATTAGTAACAGCTGGAGAAAATCTTAAGGAGCTTCATATCAAAGCTGCTTTTTTGGTGGAAAATAGTTGAAGTACTGGAGCTACTGCTATTGAGGTTTTTATCATTCTTATGGCCATGGTTACACATGCTATCCCGTGTGTCTCTGTCCAGGTCTTTTATTGACAACTTTCTTCCCCTTGTTGTAGGGTTATATGGGCAGCTTCAGACTTTCTGCCCTCCACATTATGCTGACACTCAGAAGAATGTACAAGACAGTGTTTCTTGCAATACAGTTCCTCCTTTTGAAGACTGCTTAGTTCCCACATCAGTGGACCAGGCAGAACTTGACACTTTCCATCAGACTTTTTCAACACACTCTGGTATTGCAGGTAAATGACAGCTGGGCATTTTGTGGGTGGTTGTGTACTGTTTGTGGGCTTCAACAGATCTGCTTGAGCTACATATGTAGCTAGGACCTGTCATGACAGACTTGACTCTTCAGAAAGAGGAGATAGTTTTCAGACCTCTGTGGTGTGGTTTGTGTTGGGACCCAGTCACAGTGGGTCACGGTAACATCTGACCTCTGTGCAGACAGCATATTGTTGAGGGCTTCTCCAGATTCTAACCTAGGGGGGGCAGTCACTAGGTCATGTATTTGAAATAAAGCCCATTGAGCCCTGTATGATATTTGTGCAGCCATTCCTCATTGCTGTAAGTATTGTAACAGAGACCTGAGATGATTCAAACCTCTAATTCTTTTCATGTTTGATTTTTCTCAGTCTTGAATTTCATTTACATTTCCATGGCAAGAACTGCATGGGTGAAAACTTTTCTGTGCACACTTCACAATCTCCACCTACCTGAAAAGCACATAAGGAGTTTAGCCAGTAGTTTGGAAAGATGAAAGTTACCTATGTATAGAGGATTAGCACAATATAGTAGGCCTAATCAGGACCTAAGTACCATTGATGCCCAAGTGCTTTAGTGTCTTTCCACACAGGATGATTTCAAATTTATTGTGCTTTGAAACACCTCTTATGTTGTGGTCTTTCATTAATGCATTGAAAAGCCAATGCACATGTAACTTCAAAGAGCCATCTCACAGTATGTAAAGAAGTAATCCAAAAGATGAGAGGTTTTTCTGCAGTTACTCTAGTGCTTGCCACTATTGCTTGTAGAAGATAGTAATTTCTGTGCCAAGTTCTACTTTACAGCAAATAAGTTCCACAGTATTTTATTGCCTTTTGTCATATGTTGGGTATGATAAAATTCAATAAACATGCATGAAGTTTATTTTAAAAATTATCACAATTTTAGCACCCAGTAGGTGCTGAAGTTTAGAACCTCAATGGGCAAGTGTTAGATTAAATCTGCTGTACTTCATTCTTCATTCTGGCAGAACTGAAATTCCTCCTTTGGTACGTAGTAAGTTGTATAATTATTAAATTCATACCTGTATTCGCTTGTTTGTTTTGTTTGTCTATTTGGTTTAAAGCCATTTTGAGTTCATTGCATAAGTATTAGGACACTCTCCATTATTGCATAGTTATCCTAGTTAATTAATTATTTTTTTATTTTTTCCAGTTTATGACTTTCCAGCAGGGTCAGTAGGTATCTTTGGTGATTCAGCTCACAGCATGCCAGAGGATAGCAGTTTCCTACAAGTAAATGCAGTGGATCACTGTTCTAGCCAGCTTTCTTCTGTCTACACTGAAGGCTAAAGTAATATGAATCTAGTCACAAGAACTTGTTAGCATTTCACCTTGCTCTTCTGATATTTCTCTACAAAATTTTTCTCTCCATGAAACTGCCATGTATGTATGGGGATATGGGTTGATATACATACAAAATGGAGAGGAAAAACCAGTCACCAAGCATTCATCATGCAATCAAGCAGTCAGCTGAGAAGGAGAATGTTTGAAGAATGCAAGCTTTGCCAAAACTTAGCAACTGTTTCTTTTCATCTGTGGCACAGCAACTCTACTTTTTTTGTTCTTTTTTCTTTTTAATCTCTTAATTTCTCAAAGGGAATTCACAGACTGAATAAGAAAACTGCTTGTTGGCTGTAGTCCTTTCAAGATGAATGGGTGGACTTCTGAAGAGCACAGCTTTAGCAAATTCCTGTTTATCTTTTTTTTATTTTTTTTTTTTAAAGAGGAAAATAAGTAAACCAGAGCATACTACAAACATTTCAAAGGCACACAGATTTTTGCACAACCTGTTCGCATGTGATGCTTCCAAAGTTAAAAACATACCGGCATCAAAAAGGGAGAGAAATTAGACATACATCCTCGCAGTACCTTTTGAGGCTTTGGTGCAGCTCCTGTTTGGAGCCAAAGATCATTAGCACTGGATTTCTTACAGACCTCAGTTTAGGTGTCTTTTTCTTCCCTCTGCATTTTAACCCATACAATATGGCCATTGCTATTTTTCCAATATTCCTTCTGACCCAGTGCTGTATGAAGTGAAAAAGAAGGGTTAAATGCACTACATGAGAAGGTACATAGACTTTGCCCATATTTAGCACAGCTGCTAGATAAGAAAAAGTATGCTTTAACTTTCTGTTGATTTTTAATTATATTGTAGAGCTTTATTGCTATATATGCTATAGTATTCTATAAAAAGGCTTAAAATAGACTGTAGAAAAGATTATTCCTTAAATTCCACAGATTTTTTTTAAAAGCAATCTGTACTGATTCAATTAAATTTTTGTTGCCCTAGCTTTTTTCATTTTCATAACACTTTTTCAGGAAGAAGAGCTACTTTTAAGTTTGCTATGATCCTTTTGGTTATTTAAAAATGTAAAAATGAACTGGTCTGGTGGTTTTGATTTTCCTATTCAGTGTCAGGCTCTGGTCCTTAAATTTAGTCCAGAATGCAAGCTAATGAGGTTGCTTTTTGTGAAAAGTAAAAGGGGATGAGTTTAAAATAGTATTTTGCAGTGGACATGTGTCATCACTGTGATCCTATATACCTTGGGAGCAACTCTTACAAGACTGAGGTTTTAGGTCGTTAATTCCTGTCCATCCATTTTGTGGACTTCCTACTGTGTAGTGTTCATTGCAATATTCATATAACTTGATTTAATAAGGACAAAAGTCCCAAGTTCATTCTTACAGGCTAGACCATAACAATGCTTCTGAAATTAGTTATCTAGAAAGATGAATTATAAGAAAAGTTTGTAAAACATTTTTTTTATCCTGAGCTGTTGAGAGTTGAATGCTGTTTGAGTCAAATTTGTAATTTAATTTGGCATTATGTTCCATAGATGGATTTATGTCCAGATGTTTATAAACACTGGCAACCTTTTGAGGTTTATATTCATGAAATATAATATTATAAACAGGTATATCTGCTTATATATTTAATGGAGATATTTTCATCCAATAAAAGCAAAGAATATATGGGTAAACCATGCACATAAGTGATGTACAGTAATTAATACTGTTTAAATGCAAATAATTCTGTACTAAATTCTTCCCTTCCTATTCTGCTTCTCAAATTGCACATTAATGAGTCCTTTTGTTTCAGCTTGCAATAGTAGTGCTAGTTATTACTATCTGTGGTTAGCATTCAGTTAAATGACATCAGGCTTCCCTACACATCTGTACACACACAGGAAAAAAAAGACAGTCTTATGGCATTAATGTATGATCTAGTCCACTGCATTGACAGAGTTTTGCTTTTAAACAAAGCTTTAAGTTTCTACTATGTTAAAGCCCATTCTGTGTTCACTGCACATGCATAACTTGTTTCAGCAGGAGTAATTAGGCAGCCTGAACAATTTCAAATATGTAGGACTGTGTCTTGTTGTTTTGTATATGTAAAACCTTCAAGGTTCTTTTAACCACAGGGTTGTCGAGGATTTGTCAGTTGCCATGCACAGAACTGAAATACTGCTGCTGACTTGGAACACTTAAGATTTGGAGGGACTGCACTCTAGGATGTCTAGTTTAGGTCATGCTCGGCCCAGAAAGGTTGGGCCAGGTGACCCTTGAGGTCCCTTCCAACCTGATATTCTATGATTTTATGATCTGTACCACCTTGACTTTTGAAACTTTGGAAATACTTGTATCTGAATGAACAAGTACATTCCCATACTGGTACATTCTTGTACATTCCAGTCTTCCTCCAGTCAAGAGGGAGTTTATGCATCATGAAAGATCCTGACTAAAGAAAAAGTGGGAATAGAGAATTCAAAAAGGGGGATTCATCAGCTGTATTTTAAAAAAGAAATTTTTGCAAGACATTCATGCTTTTTTTAATTTATATATATATGTGTGTGTGTAGCTTTACAGCTTTCTGTGAGCCTTAATCTTAAAAAAAGGAGCTAGATTACAGTCAAATTAAGTACAAGAGTGGGCTACCAGTCTGTAAAAAGGTACGCCTTTTGTTTACTTCTTAATCAAAGACAAAGGGGATTCTTCATGATTATTCTCTTAGGCTGAGTTAGACTGACTTTGAAGCATCAGTTTATATCACTGAGGATGGTTGTGTAAAAAAAAAAAATTTTCTCACAGACATTTTCTTGTGTATTTTGGATCTTAAAATAGGGAATTTTGTTTGTCACAGGTTACAGTGAAAAATGGTGCTTGTCAAAATGCATAGCATAATGGCAGTTATTGATTTATACACAAATACTTTTGCCTCAGTGATTTTTGTGTTGTTATTGTACTGGCTGGGTTGTTAACTTTCTAAAGGGAATCATATCTAAGAGATGAAAATATTTTAGACTTTGGACATGAAACAATATTCTAATGAAATTTTTTTTACAATCATTCGTCTATACAATTCTCTTGTTTTCAAACTTGTAGTCTATTTATTTCTACATTAGAAATGGATCTACACTGGAGTTTAAAATATAGCATGTGTCCATGTGTGAGTGTATCAGAGTGCATGTGTGTATTTAGATCTCCCTTTCTATGTATATATATACATGTATATATGCACATATACATAATATGGCGTTATGGTTTACTAGTATCGAATGCTGAAGTATTGCAGTGCTAAGGCCATCTGTCACATTGTATTTTGTTTTCAACTTTCTTTAAAGAGGTGTGAATGAGTACAAAAATTACATTTTAACTTAGTCCCTATTTTACCTGTGTAATTTCGTAGTAGATTTTTTTAAACTGCACTTTTTTGTTGTTTTTGTGAAACTTTGTTGGGCGTTTTTTTATAGACACATATGTACTTCCTAGGAACAGATAAAGCAAAAAAAAAAAAGGACCACGATTTAAAATTAGCTGAGTGGGGGTTTATTTAAGAAAAAAATCCCTTTATTCTGCACAGAAAGCAGCATCTTGTGTAATATTTTTTTACACAAAGCACTTTGGTGAGGAGAGGAAGTGGGAGTATGTTTTTCCTAAACCTTACAGAGTATTCTACATATTTATACATGCTAACATATACACATATGAGCTCTATTTGCCATTCTGTATATCTGGCTAATACTTGCTCTAAAGACATCTGTTGCATAGCATGAAAATATTTTGAAAGGATTAGGTACACCTTTTTTCTCTACTAGTATGTGTAATTTTGTGATTTGGTACAGTTATTTTTCATATAATAGTAAATTATATTTCTCCTGTTTCATAAAATTCTTTTTTATGTAAAAGGTAACATTGAAAGGTGTATATGTGTGGTACAAAATAAAACTGGATAATTGTAACTCAATGACATGACTGGTAGAATGTCTTATTGTGAGATGCCTTTAAAGAAGACTGCTCCAGCCATTGTCCTTCACCATAAAACTACTACTGTTTGCATGAATTAGTATAATTAGAAACAGAAAAAATCTCAGCGGTTTCTTCTAAAAAAAACACTTGGGTCAGCGTTTTAAGTCTAGATTTAATAATTGTTGTCGTGAGGCTAGAGATTTGTACAGATAATTAATGCCTCAGTGTGTGTGTTTACACCCTGAGTGGAGACACAAATAAAATAACAACATGTAATTACATTTTTGCGCTGTGATGATTTTTATTGGTTTCCTCCTTCATGTCGTTCTATAATACAACATGTAGTGGGATTTGCTTTTCTGTCTGGTTATTTTTTCTAACACACTCAAACAACTAAGTTATTTCAGAGCATTTAAGGGAAAGAAAAGAGCATTTAAACACATGCTAAGAATCCGGCATGCTTAGGAAATAAGAAGTAACCTTTTACCACACCCATAAATTGAACTGGACATCCAAGGACAAAATACAAAGTATAAATCAATTAAGTGCAAAAAAAATCCTGTTATAGGTTTGCAAAAAGACTTTTGAAAATAATGGTCCAAACTTATTTTGCTATGAAATTACTAGTATGGTTGGCTCTGAGTCAAACATAAGCAGAACAAAAACTAGTAAGCCCGAATTCATGACAGGTATACAAGTGATCTTAGTAGAGCTTTTACTAAAAATGAACTTTGCCCAGTCTGTTGTTATTTACACTGCGTCTTAATTTAAAGTAGGAAACTTGCCTATAGTTTCAGCAAATATAGTTAGTGAATCCTGCAGAAAACCATGAAGACCTGAGAGCTGCTGAATTAAAGTGTTTCAGAACTCAATTTTTCTTTCTGATGAAGTACATAAGTTCACTATACAATAGGGAGTAACATGTCTTGAAATACCTCAAAGCTCTGTGCTTTTCTCTGGGTGCCTGAGCTTGTTCAGTTTTTCATGATCTCCTGCAAATCTTTCTATAGCAAAATAGTGTAGTAAAGAACTTATGTGACAGTTATATTCCTACAGAGAACTTCATTTCTGAATAAAAGTTGCCTGAACTTTTTATTCTATAAGGGGTTGATATTTGGGTTTCTTTTTCCCTGTTTCAGAACAAAACCCCATTTGAAAATCATAATTTCTCACAAGATGGAAATTTTGGGGTGGGGATTATTATTTCATTGCCTGTATGTAGTTATAGGAGTTCTCGCATGCACCTGTGCCAAAGCCACAGTGTATTCCTGAACTTATAACAACTCTGCCCTAATAGAAAACACTTCAGTAAGGCTCTGTTTGCCATACATCTGTTTCCTTCAATAAGAGGAAAAAATACCAAATAGTGTCCTTCCATTCTGAATATGAATATGTTTGCATTTACTTTACCTCATTACAAGATACCTTGTATTTGAAGTTAGAATGACTATGTTTGTATGAAAACACAGCTGTCAATTTTCCTAGGCCGTCATCCTCAGGAAAATGCTGCTTCATGTTCAGACTTGCTGTTTCCTACTTTGGATCACTTTATTACCCCAAATAGTATCATCAAAAGCATTTTCAAGTACTTGATTTTTAAACTCTGTCTTTAAACCACTGTAAATAAGCCTTGTCAAGAAGCAGTTTTAAAAAACTTCTCCCCTAATGGACAGTATCAAAGTGGACAACTTATGCATGACTATGTATACCCACTCACTGCAATATATAGCTACAGGAAACAACAGCAAAATTTGATTACAGAATGAAAAATGTTAGCTTTTTTAGGTTGCTGTATCGCCTTCCAAAATGTTGATTTATAGTTTACTTCTATCTTCCTTGAAACCGTAATTTTCTCATTTAAAAGCTAAGCATGAAAAATCCTTCTACCATATCTTCCCATGCCATTTATAGATTTACAACCAAAGTAAATTTACCAAGCAGCCAGTATCATTAATGATTCACAAATGAGATGGACTAGTTCAATGAACTGTAACAAAGAACACCTTTCTAGGTGGCTAGTTAAAAGTTTCAACATACCTTTGTTAAAACTAGAAAATGCAAACTTCATGCATGGTTGCAACTAGGTGCATAGGATAAAGCATTACAAGTCCATCTAGGTAGACAGAAGAAAATATAACCATTTCCTCCATATCATGCATTTTTCCCTTTTGACCAAAAAGTTACTTGAACCTGCAAACCAATGGGCACACTGCAGGCTTGGCTACATGTGTAAATCATCTATCTTCAGCTATTCTAGAAGTGGACACAGCAAGGTTGATTAAGCTGATGAAAACTAGGGTGACATTTCCTCCTTATTCTCTGAAAACTCCAGCATAATTTTGTTGGAAAAAACACGGAAGTTGCTGCTAAAACTGTGGCTGACATATTTACAATCACAATAACAAGACTGACA